GGATGGGAACTTGGTCCTTGATGTTGTGGCCTTTGACCCTTCCTCTGTAAACAGCCTAGGGAAATGGTTGCTTTTGTCATGGCCTTGAATTCATTAGGGCTGCAGTGTGAGTTGCTCAGGGTCCAGGTGGCCTGAATCATTTGAAAGCATTCATGGAAAAGGGTGTACCAGTCAGTTTTGCAATACTATAACAAAGTATTTGAGAAATTTAAGTTATAAAGGGAATAGGTTTGTTTTGGTATATGGTTCTAGAGTTTTCAGTCCAAGATTGGGTGGTCCCACTGCTTTGAACCTCTGGTGAAGGCAGTACATCCTGACAGGGATGTGTGGCACAGCAAACTGCTCACCTCTGAGAAAAAGATAGGAAGAGACGGGGTCCTACAACCCCTTTGAAGCACATTCATGATGACCTAAGGATCTCCCAGTACCCCTTTCCCACCAAAAGATCCCTCCACCTCCAATGATGCCATCCTGGGACTTTTGGGGGACACTTAACCAAACCATTGTGTTCTATCCCTCCCCCAAATGTTCACATCCATCTCACAATACATTTATTTAATTCTCAAGAGCCCCAAAGAATGAACTATTCTGAATCTCTGGAAATTCTGATCAACAATATTATTTCAGTATTAAGACTTGTAATGCCAAAACCAAAACAAAACAATATTATTTCATGGGATTGAGCTGGAGAAGTGGTTGGCATTATTTAAGTTATTTAAGACTGTTATAAAACAAACTCAAAATATGAGAGAAGACCAAATCTCTCTTCGGACACTTGGAGGAAGAAAGACGGCACCATAGATTCACCTGCAGTTCTTCCAGCCCAGTGTTCACCTCTCTGAAGAGTTCCAGGAAACTCTAGTTGGTGTCACCACCCACACTCTGTCCCTTGTGATGTTGCTTCCTCCCAGTATGCAGTGCATACCCATGCCAACTAGATGCGCAGGTGTGTGTGTGTGGGGGGTTGTCCCCTGCTGGTGGGGGCCAGGTCATTGTCATATTTACTTGCCCATTCCCACAGTGTTTTGTGCATGGAAAATAGTAAGTGGAGCCCAACCACAGTGCTTTCTTTTTCTCATTTCTCTTTGTCTTGAATGGATCCAGTTTTAAGTGTCAGTGCAAAAACTCGTTAAGACCTTCTTCTCTTACTGACCACAGAAGGAACAGCTGTTTGTATTCTGTGGTTTCAAAGCCTTTCACCGGTACTTGTGAATGCTACCATTTGCTGTTTTTGACTATAGTTACACCGAGCCTTACCTTCCAGAATGCAGACACCTTGAGAGTAGGATCCTCATTAGATTCATGTCTTCGGGCTGGGGATGTGGCTCAAGCAATAGCGCGCTCGCCTAGCATGTGTGCGGCCCAGGTTCGATCCTCAGCACCACATACAAAGATGTTGTGTCCGCCAATAACTAAAAAATAAATAAATAAATATTTAAAAAATTAAAAAAAAAAAGATTCATGTCTCTCTCTCTCTCTTTTTATTTCTATAACTCACAAATCAATGCCTTGCTCGCGGTGATGACTGCTGGCATTTTGCATTAGTACACGTGCCAGGCACTGCTGTACAGGCTTCATTTGCTTGTTCTTAAAACCTCGCTAGAGCCTTACAAGGAAAGATAAGGAAAATGATGTTGAATCAATTGCTCAGGATCATGTAACTAGGAGTGGAGCTTGCATTCAATTCCAGGCTGCATAATTTGAGATTCTAGACTCTTAACCCCTGCCTCAGTGCATAAGTACACACAGAGGGCATTCTATAAATACTTGCAGGTTGATGTTTCTTAATCACCAGGAACTAATCAATAGTGTGAAGGCAAATCAATGTTGTCTTAATTCTCCTTGGACAGAACTTTCCAAGCCACATGAAGGCCAGAAGGGGGCTCCAGAAGGCTGGCCCTGGTTGGGGTTCTTGAGGCTCTGAGGTATTGGGCAGCCTGGTTGATTCTGGTTTGGAAGCCGACAGTGCCATCTAGTGGGATAACTTGGTAATATTAGCTCAATTATTTTTCTGAAACCTTGGTAACACTGCCATTTAGGTCTGGCCTTAATTAGTTTAATGTTAAGATATGTTTGCAAGCTGGAGGGCAGGGTGAGTGGAGAGAACCAACCTCTCCTGGCTCAAATGGGTCAAGGTCAGTCAACCTTTTTCTTGAAGAGACTGTGAGGTTGATGGTCATTTGGGTTTGTTGAGCCCCATTGACTGTTATCAATGACATAAAGCATGGGGCTTCAGGTACCCCTCCTTCCTGCTACTCCTCACATGGGCTGCCCAAAGTGTAGGTCACTACTCTTCTCTCGAGGCTTGTCTCTGGAGCTGTGTGTCATTTGGAATTTGAGTTCCAGCCATCTGTGGGTCGCCTACCATAGAATAACACTTATCCCAGATTGTATATAAGAGAATGCTTGATGCATACAATAGTCAATACCATGGGTCAACAATAGTACAGTGAGATTTGGTTTTGAGGAGTTTTTAATAGGTAAATTTGTGGCAGCTTGCAGGGGAAAATGATGAATAGACACTCCATGGTGGAAAGGCAGTAAAAAAGCACTTGGCATAAAGGAAAGAGAAAAGGTTTGCGTAGGCACTTAGCTCTGCCTCGCAGCTGGAGGCTTTGTGTAGGTGCTGTTCTGGTTTCTGGGGTGTGTGTGTATGTGATTCCTTGTGTGTATGAAAATTTTGACTTAATTTGCTTCCAAAGCCATTTACTTCTTGCTGGAAGAACCTTGAAGTGTGGTCACAACTGTATAACCATAACCACAAACAATTCATGTACTCTTTTGGTTGAGATGAAATTCTTTAAGATTGTTCAGTTTGTGGTCTGCTGGGAATCTAGCCTAAGGAATGTACTCTAGAGATCAGATCAGCACACCTATTCAGTAAACAATTTTTTTTTTTTAAACTGGGAATTGAAACCAGGGGAGGGGGTTACCACTGAGCCACATCCCTAGCCCTTTTACTTTTTATTTTGAGATAGGGACTAACTAAGTGGTTTAGGACTTTGCTAAGTTGCTGAGACTGGCCTCAAATTTGCAATCCTCCTGATTCAGCCTCCCAAATCACTGGTATTATAGGCATGTGCCACCACGCTTGGCCTTATTGCAGTGAACAATTTATCAGAACAAAGAAATGATTTTGGTTATACTATTGCTTGGGTTGTAGTGACATTCATATTAATAATTTTTTTTGTCTTATTTTTTCTTACTAGTTTCTCCTCTCTTTTTTCATTTTCTTTTTTCTTGTTCTTTCTTTTTTTAAAAAATTGGATTGGACAACAAAGTGAAAGAACTTGAAGGCCTTGTAAAAACCAACCCACGTTTATTATTAATTATGAGCTGTGTGTGAAATTTATGATTATGCAATTAAAATGATCTCAACTCAGAAAAATATACATAAACCCTCCAAATACCACAAAAATAGAAGACCAAGAAAGAAATTTGTAAGACCACAAAAAAGAAAAGTAAACAAAATAGGGTGTGTGTGGGGGAGAAAATATACATTCTGATACTGCCAGATAAACAATGAAAATACAGACATTTGTGATTCTTTGAAAAACTGGTAGTAAAATGATACCAGAATAGGGTATGATGATACTCATAAAATCGATAATAATTTAGTGAGTTTTTAGAAGAAAAACTTTACAGCCCGGCACAGTGGCATATGACTGTAATCGAAGCCACTCAAGAGGATGAGGAAGGAGGATCACAAGTTCAAGGCTGACCTCAGCAACTTATCTAGATCTTTGTCTCAAAATAAAAAGTCCTGGGGATGTAGCTCAGTGATAGATTGCCCTGAGGTTCAATCCCCAGTAGTGGGGAAAAATTTTTGTAGTAGGACTTTATTATTAATAAAATCTATGCATAGCTGCGTTCGTCTGCCTTTTCCCATGAAAGCTCCTTGGGTTCATATTGTGGGCTTTGTGGGCTCCTGAAATCTTTCCTCTACTGAGCTTTCGGGGCTCTGCCTCAACTCCTCAACTCCTCAGCTCAAGACACCGTAGCTTAAAAGTAATCAAGGACGACGTCACGTAAATGTCAAGTGTGGCTGTATTCCCATAAAGTGTCATTATGGACACTGAAATTCAAATTTCACATCATGTTCAAGTGTCCCAAAATATTCTTTTTTGGATTACCCCCAACCTTTTAAAAATGCAAAAACCATTCTTAGCTCATGGAACTGTATAAAAACAGATGGCTCCAGATTTGGCTCGAAGGCTGTAGTTTTCCGATCCTTGTCAAATGCCTGGAGTAGGTAATACTTGTAAATGGGGGAAAAAAAATCAGCGTTCATCTAATATGTAGATGGTGTCATGAGGTGTCTGAAAAGATTTTCTCTCTCTGGAATAAGATGAAAGGCAGTTTATTCCATTTCACCTTAAGGGTGGAGTCTGTTCACAGAGTTCTGACCTTGAACTCAGGAGTCCTTTTACCTGCAGGGCTGTGAGGATTGGAGGGATTCCACCCTTTATTCCTTCTATTTTTTTTTTTTTTTTAACCTCACTCTACCCAGCCCTTCCTGGGGGCTGAAAAGCAGACCAGGTGACCCCAGATCCTGTCTGTGAAGTCTTTTGCCTTCCTCCACACCCTACTAAGTCCCTCCCTCCTCAATTCTACACCAGTTCCTTGGGAGTCTCTAGTGGGATGAAGAACAACGGAATCATTAACCCATCAGAGTGAGATGAAGAGGAGCGGTTAAGATGCCCTGGATGTGCATATTTAGCTGGGGAAGAACAGGAACAAGGTCAAAACCTTCCTCTTAAAGCTGGGGCAGCAAAACTGTCCTCAGGTATCATGGGTGGGTTTTTGTACCAGGTTTGTGTCATTTCTCACACCCCTCCTCTGATAGTACACTCTCTGTGCTAAACTCTCTGCGCAGGGGGGAACTTGTAGCCTCAGTTTTGTAACCCCCCTTTTTTTTTTCTCTAGTTGAGGTCTAAGACCTCCCCGGGGTTGAGAAAGAAGTTGAGCATTAACGGTCCATATCCTGTGTCTTTCCCCAGCAGCCAGCAGAGCAGCCAGCAGAGCAGCCATGATGACGATTCGAGCAGGTTCCTGAGCCCTCGAGTGCGGGAAGAAAGGTGAGATCCTAGAGGAGGGAGCGGGTGGGTGGGAGAAGCATGACAGAGCACCAGCCACGTGCTTGAGTAAGACCGTGCTTCTGCCGTGGGCCAGCAGTTTGGGAAGTGGAAGAGCCAGAGGAGAGCGCCGGACCCTTGTGCTTGGAGACTTGAGTGGAGAGACAAGCTGTTCACCCAAGAAATGAGGGTGCAACCCCAAAGGCTGATCCTGAAAGCCTTTCGGGTTCAGCAAGGAGGGGTGTCAACCTGTGGCAAGCCAAACGCTTTGGCAAGACTTTGGACTTAGAACTCGCATCCTCTAGTCAGGCCTTCTGGGCCGGGTGCAGTGTGGACGGTGCTGGGGAAGAGATTTTGTGCTGAGGAAGCCGCATGTCTTGGGGTTGAGTGTGTGTTGTGTCCAGTGGCGGCACCAAACCAGCCTGACTGGCTTGGAATGCGTTGCATGTGGTTGAGGTTAACGATGGAGAATGAGATTGAATATGTAAAAGAACACGGAGAATATGGAGGCTCCTAAATGCTCAGCGGAGGATTCCAGATACAACTAGCTGTGTGCTCAGGTTATGAGGGCCAGCTAGCGTGATTCGTACCATGCTACACGTGGTAGATGGAAGGGGGTTTGTGGTAACAAGTTAAACTTCTTTGCCCCTCCCCAAAAGTCCATATACATGTTTGGTGTTGGGGATTGAACTCAGGACCCTGAGCATGCTGGGCAAGCACTCTGCCAAGTCCACCACCTTACTAATGTTGACTTAAATGAGGTCTCAGCTGGCTTCCCACAGGGTCTCTGTTTTGGATCTAGTTCTGTTGAAAAAGCCAAAGGTGCTTTTGCCACTTTTATCAAACTTAAATGAAGCTTAAGGAAATTTAATTAAAATCAAGATTTAATATGATTTCAAACAGAACAGTGGCTTCTATTGGGAACAATGGGAAACTGAGAGAGATTTTTTTCAAAAAAGGAAATGTGATACTGATAATAGAGATTCATTTCTTTAGTGTAAGGTTGCCATAAGGAACCTACTTTGATAGGATTTCTTTGTGTTTGTGGGGTACTGGGAATTAAACTAGCATTTTGCCTATGCTAGGTAAGTGCTGTACCACTGACCTATTCCCTAAGCCTTCTATTTTTATTTTAGTGAGACAAGGTCTCGCTAAGTGGTCCAAGCTGGGTTCGAACTTGTGATCCTCTTGCCTCAATCTCCCAAATAGCTGGCATCATAGCTGTGTACCACTACACCCTGCTATTTGATAGGATTTCATGTGAAAAATCAGCCAAATATGAGCCAATAATAGGACAGGACACTTTGAAAGTTTTAAAATTCATTAATGGAAGCATCATGCTTGGATTTAAAAAAAGAGAAAGAGATCTTATACTGTAGCGTGTATAAATTTGATCATATCTTGTGTATTAGGACCAGTTCTTTAGAAATGGGTATTAGAGTTCAAAAGAGAATGACCTATGTCCTTACAAGAACTGTTTGAAGGAAAGGGGTTGGACCTGAAATAGAGAAGATTGAAGGTGACTCTTTAAATATGTGAAAGCATAAGAAACAGAACAGTGTGAAGTTACAGGAAGAAGAGTTTCAGCTCAGATTCACCATTTCCATGGATAGGGCTGATCAATAGAATAGGCTTTGCAAAATAACCTATTATACCCCTCTGCAGAAGATTGAAGCCAAGGGAGGTGTCAATCGAACTCTAATCCTTACCTCTAGATTAGGCACTCTTGTGAATTCTGTCCGAGTTCTTAATTTTATGCCCATTCTTAACCAAAATGAATGGCTCAGTTCATCAATTTGGAGGGAGTATATATGGAGACATGGGGTCCCCAAAAGACAAAGATGAAATCAAAATGCTTATCCAGCTGTGATCTGAGAGCAGTTTGTTCTCTCCCCAGAGAAGCCTACACTCTCTTTTTAAAAGACTTTCTGGATTTCAACAACTATACTCAAATTGAGAAGGAGCCCCAGCCGTCCCCAGCACAACTTCCTTCCCTGTGCTTGCACACCAGTCAGCTCTGAAAGTGTACCAGTCCATTTCTGACTGGTGCCCTGTGGCCAACGCCTCGCCCCACTTCCTTTTCTTCCTTCTTTTCTTATCTCCTTCCTTTCTCCCTCCCTCTCTCCTTCCCTCTCTTCCTTCCTCCCTCCCTCCATCCCTCCCTCCTTTATTTCTCTTTCCTGAGGATTGAACCCAAGGGCGTGTCATCACTCAGTTACATTCCCAGTACTTTTTGTTTTTATTTTGAGACAGAGTCTCACTAAATTGGGAAGGCTGGTCTCAAACTTGCAATCCTCCTGCCTCAGCCTTGGAGTTGCTGGCCAACATTTCCTATTTTTCTACTGCTTTTTTTGAAGCACTACAGAGAAAGTGATGAATGCACCTACCCTCATCTACTTTGTCTAAGTCAATCTGTCTTGCATTGTGGGACTTGACTGCTAATTAGAGAGCTCTGCCTTTTGCTGGCTATTTGGTACTCTACATTGACTACTCACTCCTTCAAAATAAAAGATTCTTTCCTCTAAATCTCTTCCTGGAAAAGGCTTCTGGGTTTCCATCCTGTCCCTTCCTTCCCATCCCCAGCCCACTCAGTCCCACACACTCTTCCTGGTGGATGAGGGTGTTTTGTCTCAGCTGGCTCTGGGCAGTATGAGGAAACGAGGAGGTGAGAACTGTGTTTCCCAAAGCGGCCCCTGTGGACACCACCCACCTCAGAAACTCCTGGATGGTTCGTGCCTCTCTGGATTTAGTCTTTTCTCAGCCAGTGCATTTCTTCTGGAGAGAACAAGTTCCCAGAGTTCCATCGTCACCAGCCTCAGCATCCAGTTCTTCCTCTAAGATATTTCCACCCAATTTAAAGTTCTCTGGGGCATTTGGGAAGTTGCCCTGTGACATCCCAGTCCCAGGCAAGTGGTGATAACCTTGATAACCTGACTCTGGGGAGATCTTCTGCAGAGGTGGGGATCTGGCCAGGCTCCTCCCCCGGGGCCCTTTGACAGTGTACCCTTTCATTAACGACAGCGTTTCCTACACTGCTGAGGTCTTTCTGTGATCTCATTTATTCTTTGCCACTCTCCTGAGGGGTAGGGGGAGCTAATATTATCCAATAATGAGGTAGTTATTGTGGACTCTTTCTGCAGTTGCTTCTAATACTCCGAAGCACGTGATCAATTACTTGATGAAAGGTCATCTCATAGAGCAGGCAAACAATTAACATTGATTTCTTATGCTTTAAAGATCAAAATTGCAGTCCTTCAGTATAAGACGCGCTTTCAGCTGGTGTAATAAAGCACTGATATTTCTTTTTCTTGTCTTTGCTTAGGGTTCAGGATAGCTGCAATATTTAGAGACAAATAGCTACCCTACTACAGTCATGCATTGCTTAACAATGGGCTGGCTGTTAGGTGATTTCCTCATTGTGTCAACATTAAGTAGAGTGTACTTGAACTAAGATGGCTGCAATGTCCCTAGGCTGTAGATTTTTTTTTTTTTTTTAAACTAGGGATTGAACTCAGGGCCTCATAATTGCTAGACAAGTGTTCTGCCACTGAGCTATATCCCCAGCCCTTTCTATATTTTATTATTTTGCAGTACTGGGGGCTGAACCTAAGGGTGCTTTATCACTGAGTTATATCCACAGCTCTTTTTATTTTGAGACAGGATCTTACCTAAATTGCTGAGGCTGGCCTCAAACTTGTGATCCTCCTGTCTCAGCTTCCTGTAGCTAAGAGTACAGGCCACCATGCCTGACTTAGGCTACATAATTTTTTTTTTTTTTGCTGCTGTTTTGATTTTAAATTACTCTTCATTCTCCTTTATATAATCTTATGAGAGCACATGACGATACTGATTAGCAGTAGGTGAAATGTCTCAATGTGGTCAAACTTAAGGACTTCTTAGAAATTTTTTTCCCTCATTCACGTCCATCTTCTGTCCTGAAGGCAAGTCTTTGGAATCATGACAGTAGGGGAGGGTAGTGGTGTGTTTGTGCACTGTGGAATACAGAACTCTAATCCATTTTCACGCTTCAAGGTGAAGCCAGGGGCAAACTAAAACACTAGCTCCCAGGTTCAACCCAAGCTGGACCAATTAAGGTTTCTCAAGCACTCATTTCCCAGTGACAGAAACTTCTGAACAAAGGAGGACCTTAGAAAAAGGAGCTGTTTTACTAAGGAGCTTTTGTGTACACTAGGTTAGTTTCGACATTAATGTGGTCTCCGTTGACTGGGAAGTCTTTGAGGAGTTGACAGTTGAGACCTGGAAGTGGGTGTGTGCATATGAATCCAAAGGCAGGGCCCCTGCTCCTGTCCCCAGGCCCAGAGCACACATCCACACACCTGTTCCTGCTTGCAGGCTTGTGTGCCACAAACCTTCAGGAAATGTTTACAGGATACAGGGGAGCTCAGCAGAGCCCAGGCTGGAAGATGAGTGGACACTTGCTGGCTGCTGATAGGCACTGCTGTATTGGCAAGAACAAATGCCTCACAGTCAGAGTTCGTTTGAGTACCTTCTTTGTTGCTTATTAACTGTGCATCTTAATTTTATTTATCCATTTATTTATTTATTGCAGCATTGGAGATTGAACCCAGGGTCTTGCACATGCTAAGCAGGTGTTTTACTACATCCACATTTCTAACAGTGCATTTTTTTTAACTGCGTATTTTTTCCAAAAGCAACTTACTTAGCTTTATTCAACCTGTTTCATCATTTGTAAAAATCTGTTGTCTGTCATGTCTTCTTGTAAAGAATAAATTAAAAAAAAATGTAAAGTGCTTGGCACTTAGTAGTTGCTTAATAAGTGGTAACTTAGCATATCTACCTTCTTCTGTCCTCAAGGAAGTGGAGAGAATGGGTGGAATATTGAGCACTTGCAAATGTCAGGTAGACATTGGAAAAATGGACTAAGGAATGTTATTTTCCCTCAAGAGCTTTTCTCTTTTTTGGTGAGATACACTTGCAAACAAACAAGTATAATACAATGTAGTAATTGACACAGAATTATT